GGGGGGAAGAGTCCAATTTCTTTTTGAGTCTTGGTAATTGGGTACTTTTACAGGCAGATCACGCTATTTGGGCAGAACAACAAGTTTGGAAAGACCAATATCTCTACGTTGCCACCGATTTCTACTAATTTATTTATTTAGTTAGTTTTATCTCCCTTCTCCTCTCGCTTCCCGTGTTCCCCGCGACGTTTTTATTTACCCAGTCACTGTCTTCGCAGAGGCAACACAGTGCCCCATGTTTTGGGTGGAGGCGGCTGTGCCATCCCCCGTGTTTTCCTGCCCCGTTGGGTCAGAGCCGCGGAGGACAGGGTCACACAGCCGAAACGCGGGATGGAGCGCCCTCTTATTTAAGACTTGGGCTTTGGGGGGAATTCTGTAATGTGCAGTGATTTCAGGAAGGACAATGCAATCATTAATCATCCCCTCGCCTTTTGATTTGGATACACATTTGCAACACAGAAGGGCAAGAAAACAATGGTGATAGCGCTATATCTTTGCATATTTATATAGAGATAGATAAAGATATATATGTTACATCCATCAGATACAAACACTTCATATGCAACTTAGCTCCGGTATAACATCGATTAACATTCTGTCCTTACATTCATCGTTGTCATGGCACAAAGAAAAAGAAATTGCATGCAGTAGGCAGCTGATAATTTTAATTTAAAAAAAGTTTTATTACGAAACTAGTTTGTATAAAATAGGGTTATACAGGACCTTTGTAAGTTTGTAATAAAACAGTAAGAAAAGGCAGTGGTGGTGGGGCTGTTTGTTTGTTTGTTTGTCTAGTTTTTCTTTTTTCCCCCCTTCCCTCCCCCCCCCCCAAAAAAAAAAACCAGCATATGAAAACAAATGGCTACCGTTTTGCGTTTGGACAATAGCTGCATAACTTTGTTCACTTTGAACATTGTTTAATGACATTATTAATACATTAACAAAGTTTCTATAAAGTAAGACACATTGGTGCTAAAGTACATCTGGAGGAAATCCAAGTCCTTTACAAAACCACATACAAAAATGGCAGTTGTAAGGTAACGTTGACTACGAGTCTAAACATGAAGAGGTAATAAGCATTACATATTAAAAAAAGTATCAAGATATACAGATTTTAAACCATTTGTACAAAACCTCTATAAATCTCTCTCTCTCTTATGTACAAAAATAGCTTAATATATCCCCAACCGGGTTAGGATAGATACAAATAGATTTTCTTATCATAAAAAAATTCACAAAAAAGAAAATTGGAAGCATTCTATGATGGAAACGAGAAGAAAAGCTTGGATCGAGGGGAGGGAGAGGCAGGGGGGATGGGGGGTAGAGGGGGCTCCAGGGACTTCTTTGAGTACAGCGTAGCTTAACTTCAGCATCTCCACAGACATCGGGAAACTAACTTTGTCCACAGGTGATGAACGCCAGTCTCTGAAGGGCCGCGGCGGCGCCGAGGTGAGGAGACGGGCCGCCTTTCTGCTGAGGAGGAGGAAGAAGAGCTCCTCCGCCGGCCTAGGAGCGCAGCGCATTTTCCCGCCGCCCGGGGGTCCCCCGCCGGACACCCACTCCGCCGGGGCGCAGTCCGTGGCAGTGCGACGGAGTGCCAAGGCCGGCCGGTTTCCGGAGCCGGGGGCGACCGTCCCGACCTCCCCCGCTCCGCGCAGCGCTGTGCCCGCCCGCCGAGAGACGTGCCCGCACCGCCCTCCGACGGCAGGGGAGCTCGAAACGCAATAGGTCCTTTTCCTGCGCGGATTTTTGTCTCTCTGTGTGTGATCTGTTTTTGTGCGGGTTTTTTGTTTGTTTTTTTTTTGTTTGTTTGTTGTTTTTGTTTGTTGTTTTTTTTCCCTTTTGCAACTGTCCTGTAACAATAAAAGAGAGAGGAGATCAGAGCCGCGCTGGGACCAGTGCAGCGTCGGGCCGCAGAGCCGCTCGCAAGTACCGCGGGGAGTCCCGGCTGCGCCCCCTCCCCCGGCGGCGGCGGCCCCGCCGCCCCTCGTCCGTCCCCCCGCTATCCCCCGACCTCCCCCGGCCCTCCGCGGGCGCCTACCCACCTGCGAGAGGGCGGCCGGTGTTCAGAACCAGCTTGTGAAGTCGAGAAGCTCCTGCTCCTCGGGGCTGAGCGGGTCGTAGGAGCCCTCGTCGGAGGAGTAGGAGGAGACGGGGGAGCCCGCCATGGAGTTCATGTCGTGGGAGTAGCTGGGCGAGATGGTGGGCGAGAGGACGCCTGCCTGGAAGGCGGCGCTGACGGCGTCATGCTCGTCGAGCAGCTGCTGCAGGGCGCGGATGTACTCGACGGCGGAGCGGAGCGTCTCCACCTTGCTCATCTTCTTGTTGGCAGCGCCGTTGGGGACGTGCTCCCGCAGCGTGGCGAAGCCCAGGTTCACCAGCTTCACCCGGTTGCGCTCCCGCTCGTTGCGCCGCGCCACGGCCGCCGGCTGCTGCTGAGGCAGGCTGTACCCGAACCCGCTGAAGTTGAGCCTCCTCTTGCAGCGCATCAGCTCCGGCGAGGCCGAGCGCTGCCGCTTGGCCGCCCGCGGCGCCGACGGCTTGCCGCCCGGGGAGGGCTGCCCGCCCGCCGGGCTGAGCTGCGGCGGCGGCGCCCCCGGGGGCGGCCCCGGAGGGGCGGCTGCGGCTGCGGCGGCCACCGCCGCGGCGAAGAAGCACGCCGGCTGCAGGAAGGGCGGCTGCCCGGCGGCGTTGGACATCCTGGCGGGGCTGCCGCTGGCCATGGGCGAGGGGGCCTCCTTGTGAGGCGGGGGCGCCCGAGTGACGGCCGGTCCCCGTCCCCTCACCACCACCACAAAAAAAAAAAAAAAAAAAAAAAAAAAAAAAAAAAAAAAAAAA